GCGGTGAGTTCTCGAACCAGCGAAGAGCCCCCAACTTTAAATAGAGCAGGAGATAGACCACTTGGGCCGAGTGCCTTATAACGCTTTGGGCAACAAAGCTCTCGCCAGATTTCCTGGTGATGTAGGATCAGTTGGCACGGACCATTCATCCCCAGTGCGCGCCCTAGGGGAAGCTGATAGAGCTGGCGGCCAGGAAAACTGCGAGCGAAAATGTTCGGCCCATCGCTCCAACCGTCGTTGATGATTAGTGATTAGGGAGCCATCAACTTCGCAGATTGTTTCGCTTACTCCTGATCGGAAGCATTCGGCGACTCGGATGAGGTGGAATAGTTTGCTGGTATTACCGGAAAGATTAATAAGTTCAATCTCTGTAGCACGTTCACACCATCAGGTCTCACGGTCCTTCTGTAATCTCCTACGCAAAACTCCATCCAGAGATCGGCGTTCCTCACTACAGCTGCTGTCGGCTGTGATCAAGTGGTGTCTGTCCATCGGCGCCATGGAGGCAGTGGTGATCCAGCTTTTCGGCGGGTGACAAGCAATTCCACAACTGACAGTACTGACAGAAATTAAAGCGTCTTTGATGCACATCCATTGCGAATTGAGACCATCGTTTGAGGACGAAGTAAATAGTGTTGACAGAGAAGCCTGGTACTTGGCTAACGTCGCAGGATGTTAGAGATTTTCGACATTCGGTCGGTAATGCGTACGTCTAGATGATCCTCCGAAGCGCATGAAACTTTTGGCGCCAGCTTGTGAATGATTGGGTCCAGACAAGTTGACCAGTACTGTCGGTAGTCTGTTACGCTTCCGCGCTATCCGTAGCTTATTGCTATGTGGTCAAGCTGGGACCACTCTTGTGTTTGAGAAGGCAAACGCCAGGTAGCAGTCTGTCTTTTCGAATGACGAAAACGTCCGCTCGAAAGAAACAAGCGATGATCAAAACAAAGTCAGTAGTCTGTCTCCATTGTCTGATCGGTTGCTACCGAGGCCAAAACTACCCCCAAGATGGTGCTCGCTCGGTGGCATGTGGACCCTTCGTGCGTTAAAATCTCCGGCAAGAATGACAATGTCAGACTTTTTAGCGGAACGCATAAGCCCATGTAGCTGTTGGTAAAAGCAATCCTTGACTGCATCCGGACTGTAGTCTGTAGGAGCCTAGGCGGAGATGACAAACAAGGCGCACGTAACATCTCGACGCTTACTTAACTTAAATGAACCTTGTAGTCTGACTGCACATAGCCGACTGTTGATTGGGATCCAGTCAAACGAAGCGACCTCTGCCTAGCTTGGCCAGAAGCGGCGACCTCTGGGTCTCCGGAAAGGCGCTAGTGGTATTTGACGTCAGGGTTTACCGGAGAGTTCGTTGTGATGGCGGTACTGGCGTCTTGCAACCGGGTTTCGGAAAGGCAACAGATGTTCACCAGGAGTGTCTCAAGGGTACGGGCCAGACATGCTTGTCGTCCGGTCTGCATCAAATTGCGCACACTGCACGCTGCCAGGCCGATTGGAGAACCAGGACGAAGGACAGCTTGGGGTTCGCTTGAATGTGCAGATGTTGTGACCACTGGGCAACGAACACCAAACGTTTGGCTCAGAACTCTGTCAGATGCGACCAGTGAGCTATTGTTGACGGGGACCGGTGGCGACATAGGTGCAGTTGGGGAACGGGACGTTGGACGATCTGTGAGTGGATGTTGAGCAACAGAGGCAGTAAAGCCAGTAGACATAGCAAGAAGGAAAGCAGCAGTGTAGTCCATTTATGGTTCCTCGGTGGGCGTGATACGGTTGCCCATTCCGAAGTAGGGGGTTGTCTTAGGGGCCCCACCCGAGCCACTGATCCTGAATCTAACCTACAAGGCAGCAGCGCGATATGAGGGTATCACAGCCTGTTGGGAGCCGGTGACCACACAAGTGGTTCATACGCCTTTAGGACCGCATAGGACTAGGGGCCCAAAACACTTGAATTACGATGCCGCTCAGAGAGAGACAAGAGGTAGTGACTCTGTTTAGTGGTTAGTCACATCCGCCACGGCATAGTGTTGTTAAACGGACAAATGTGGCTTTGTATAGTGAGAACGTTTGTTAGGCGAAAACCCACCTCGTCCTGGAACACTGCAGCCGAACCATTCGGGATAATCCCGAACCACCCAGCTGGCGCCACGAGCAGGTTGTTCGGCAAGCTAGCCACCACAACTCGTTGCACGCGTGATGAATATACCGGGAGGACGCCTACCGGTCATCATCATCATCATACACGTTAGCTAGAGGTGGGGAACACCTCAGCTACTTACTGTGCCGCAATACACAGAAAAAAGTAGCAAAAAAGCAACTGGTGCAAGCCGGCTGAGCTACAGGTAACGGATGGGCATCGTTCCGGTAAGCTACCAGCCGGCTACTGTGCATCAAAAAATATTACTATTCAAAATTATATAAGGCTAAATAATGAGATCGTGGTTGGAGGGGTTGGCTAAGAGGGATGGGATGGGACAAAGAAACTCACAGCACGAACACCACTGAGGTCGGCGCCTAGCCATATCAGCAAGTGAGTCCAACCAAAAGTGTTCATCGTCTTTTGGTCCCCAACCAGGGAGCTGTGAAGCTCAAACCGAGGCCAGCTCCGAAGTGAGGGCCTTCATTCCTCTCGACCAAGTCATCGCTTGGCCACCTCTCTTCTTCATCCATCCACACCCCCGGCGCGCAAACAACGCACGTCGCGCGAGTCGGTGGTCTGGCATGCGTAACACGTGGCCGAGCCATCGGAGCCTGGTGCGTGAAATGACGGTGCTGAGCGGTTCAGCTCGTTTTCCTGTGCCATAAACAAGGCGTCGAACACGCTCGTCGCTCACGCGGTGTTCCCGCCAGATAATAGCTAAATTGGGAAGACACCGGTTGTCGAGCGTAACTATCCTCTTTATGTCCACTGTTCTAAAGGGCTGGGTTTCACAACTGTACAGTAGGGTCTAACGTACCGCTGCATTGTACACTCTACCCTTCAGGACGTGAGTGATTTCGCGCCGCGCCATAGGTGGCGAAGGTCAGAAAAAGCGCCCCGAGCTTTTGCTATACGGTTCGTGATCTCATCTTCAATCCCACGGGCGCTGATATAACTTCCCAGGTAGTTGAATTTTTGAACGACTTCTAGCTGATCCCCACCAACGGTCAGCGAAGGAGGCGGTCCAGACCAATCTTGGAGTAACGCTTTGCACTTCGAGGGTGCGAAGCGAAGCCCGAAGTGACGGACAGCTAGTGCTAATCTGTTCAGTGCCGGTTTCACGTCTGGGAGCTGTCACAGATTAGGGCAATATCATCAGCATACTCTAAGTAAAGAAGTCGTTCTCCTGGGAGCAGTTCCACACCTTCTAAGTCGTGTGATGTGAACGCGATTTCCATGACTTCGTCAACAGCGAAGTTCTCCTGTCTAGGCCCGGGCAACCTGACAGTATCCTGCCCACGCAATACTATGAATCTCAATTCAACGCCCACCGTTACGTGGATTCGAACCAGCGCTGCGAGATTAGGAGACAAGTTCGTTACCTCTAGGCTATGGGTCGACTCTCGACTAGGCCGACAGCGGTGTATTTTACTTTTCTTCAACACTCCAGGGTATCATCGTGATCGATTACGGCTCGCGTAAGCTCATCGTTCGTTAATCTTATTCGTTAACCTCAATTTAAGTTATCACAAGCTGGATTCACTTCTCTCCGAGCACTTGGATGCAGCTGGTGTTGCTCTTCGACACAATGTACGGTACATAGTGTAAATCAGCTCCTCCGACAGGCTCGCCCCTCTTGAAAAGCTCAGCTAGAGGAAAGATTTGTTCCATGTTGCGTTTTGTCATCTATCAACACCCAGAATATTCCCTTGATTGTCAATCTTCATTTCCCCAAGGTGTTACCACCAGTGGCTACAGCTGTTTGATTTCTGCTTTTGGGGCTATACCCAACATGCTCTCATTCGTTCATATGCACCTTTTTCGCTTTGCTCAGCTTTCCTGCGATCACAAAATAACCCAGTCGACAGTTAGCGACAGTCCACCTGGTTATGTCAACTCGGACCCGTTGATTGACAGCGCCCTAATGGACTTACGCGTTGTGGTTACGCGTGCGCGCGTGCACATTGCTTGTGCGTTTATGATCATGACACGTTCAAGTGTTTATCGACGTTCTGCGGAACTATCTGTTATCCGCGCGCGCGTACACACACACACCGGGTCTGGGATGCCAGACGCAGTGCAAGAGAACGTGACCACCGAATACAACCGTTATGGCATTGCAGTTAGACTGATAGGCACAAGTGTGTGTGTGTGTGCGTGCGTGTGTGTGTGGTGAACTGTGGCTCCGTGATGGGTGGTGGGTGATGGGTGGCTCCTTGACTGTGAAACTAGTGCACACATACAGGCCACAACAGAAACGAGTCTTCCGTAAACAGTTTTGCGAAATTTTGGCAGCTGCATTAGACTATCATTTCGGTGAATTCCCCTTCCCTCTCTGTCTCTTAAGAGTACGCCGTATGTCAGTGTTGGGATAGGTCAGCAGTGTGAAACTGCACTTTGGTGACTGCCGGTGGATCGCATTGAGAATCGATTTGACGCACACTCTTCCTCCTCTAACATCTAACATTTGGTAGTACCCGGCTGGAGTGATTTTCTGTTATTTGTATAGGTTGAGTCACATCGAATCGCGTCAACTTGTCTCCATCTGGTGACAGTTGCTGTGTTCTCCCCTCCCCACCCCCCCACTGACTAACCGAACAGCTGGTGCCCATTACGTTTGGATCGATAGTTAAACCAAATGCTTTTCTTAGCCTGCATCATTGTCTACACGTCGTATACAGGCGCATAAAATGCCAAATGTGCATCGGGAGTTTGTTAGAAGACAGAACATCCATTTTAGGTGGCTTATTATTATTTGGCAGGTGAGATTTCTTAACCTTCCTAGATTAACCTTCCATTTCCCTCGTTAAAACAACGTGCTTGGAATCTGTCGTTTCATTTATAGGCGCAAACAGTCATGCTCCAGTGGTCTAGACAGTCAGTCAAGTACACCAGCCGTGAGCCCCCTTGGATCCCCACTCTCGTTGCAACGAGTTCACTGTCGAACCGTGAGCTGTGAGAGTACCGGGACTGTTGTGACCTCGCCAAATTCACTAGCCATCCCTTCACCCTACCGAAGTCCAGTCCAGTCTCCCAATCCCTCCTCTGCAGTCACACAACCCGCTGTCAACTGCACGACGACCGGCAACAAAACTCCCACGGGTATCATGGGCAGTGCCAAAAGTATGCAACACCAGATTTCTACCGACCAGCAGCACAACAAAACACACCATACAATCCCGGACAACTCCATTGGTGTACCTATGGTTGGCGGTCCGGTGGGTCCTCCACACCCCAATATGAACATCTACTGTTTCGGGAACATTCCGCCGCTTACACCTGGAGTTACTCATCTGATGCATCATCCTCCGTTAGGTCCCATGGCAGTGCCCACCACCTTGGCACATCCCTTCGTCCCAGCACTGCATTTAATACCCCACTCATATCCCCATCCGTTTCCAGCGGGCCCCTATCTGATCCCGGCGATTCCCCCATTCAATGGCCCGACTCCGCCAACGTTCCCACCCATAACTACAGAGACGTACACTGTGCTATCGTGCAACCCGAACACGGGACACGTTCATCCAGCAGTCTCGGCGCCGCAGCCAAACGCTTCAGGGGGTCCAGTCCCTCAGGTGAAGCAACCACCAGCAGCTCAGCATACGGGCACGAGTGCACAACCCATGACTACTTCGACGGCCGTCACTAATCCGACACTGATGGTGAGCCGGATGGAATCGCCAACGGTTAGCCAGGTTGGTGCCAGCGTTCGCCAGTAATCTGACAGATTCTATTACATGTGTAGGAATTGTTTTACCCTCCTGTTACTCCCCATTCTGATTCGATTTTAGTTGAGTTGTCCGTTCAGCAAGCAGCAGCGATCCGCGCATGAAACTGCCATGCAACCTGTTTGCTTAATCCACACCACACACAATGCTACCAGTATGACTGATAATGAAAGCAATAAGTAACCATGCTTCAAGGGGAATTAACCTAAATTAGGATAGTCAGACGAGCAGGTTTAGTGACAGTAATACGTATACTAGTGCAACAGATTTATTGCCTTCTGCACTGCGTCATATCTACTGTGTGTGTGTGTGTCCGACCCCGAGACTATAATCCAGGGCCTCGGCGGACTCATAATGAAACACTCAGTGATATCCGCTCGCTTGTTAGATTGTAAAACCGTCGGAACAATCACAGTATAGGACAGTATACTGATCAATCGTTCGGCCACACGATTCAGGCAAGGCCACCGACAAGGTAGGAGGCACGTAACAGGACTGTCGGCCCCGTGCACGTGGACCACAACAGAGCAGTGGGGTAGCGAAGTTCCTAGCCATTGCGTCACATCGACGTCGTACTTTCAGCCACCGTCATACTTGAAAACGCGCTCTTCGACTGTCTCATAAAAACGAAGTATAAGGTTCGCCTGTTACAGTCAAATTTGCTGAGTTGCACACATGGGTTTCCGAACGACCCTACAGCATGGCACCGTACAGCTGCTGTCAACTCACTCAGCTCCACAGAATTTGGCACTTAAAACGTGTCCAGTGATGTTTTAACTTGTAACTCGGAGATGTGAAAGATTCCTTTCGATCCGGCACTCGCACAGCTGGTTGCTGTGCAGAAAGTGGGGAACCGGTCCGACAGCCACCTCGTACCACGCATTGCTCTTCCGTTTCATAGACACAGCATGTTGCTAGCTTGATGAAGGGGAAGTCTACTCATATCTGGTGCGGGTGACCGTTTAGTAATAATCGGGGTATCATGTCATTCTGTAGGTGTACCTCACGAACGAATATGGTATGAGTTGAGGATCTAGCGTCCGGTGCATCGGATTTAAGGCGTTAGCCGATATTTTCCACTCAGTTAATGAATCAATACCCTCTTCCGCATTTCGCAATTACGCATCATCATCTCCTTTTTGTAGCCTAATGCCCCAGAAAGTGAGGCCATCTCGGGCCAGAAAACATCTGACGCAGTATCGCAGCACCTCACAAGCACGTCCACCAGACAAAACATCTCGGTCGCGTTGACCCACGAACTCCGCACAACTTCACCCAACACAGCGCCCTCCTCACCAGTTGACTCGCTTCCTGCTCGTTCCAAACGCTCGTCCATCCCCTACTCTCCACCGGTCTACATCAGTCGACATCAAACGTTGGCCGTGGCGAAACACTCTCACATCCCTTCGCTCAGTGTGACAGACAAAGGGCGTCTAAATGGATCCACAGTGTGCAGCCCAGCTCCCTGCGGACGTACGCTTCGATCACCATTGACCGGACCATCCTCACCAACGGATAGGCTTAAAGTTACCCAAGCCGAAAGCGTCAATCAGAAAGAGCCTCGTTCCGATGTCACCAGCCTTGTGCCACAATTTGTCCAGAACTTGCAAGCCAGTCGTATGAAAGCAGGCAATGCCGGCACGTCCACCATGACCGCTCCGACCAGTCCAACTTCCTCAGGGCAACCTTGGCGGGTCAAACTGAACAATTTAAAAATGTCGTTCCTTGGCTCACCTCGTTTCCATCGGAAGAAAACGGGTCTTGTTGAAGAGACCCCGCCAAGTAGTCCGAAATCAAGCGGTTTCTCTTGCACAAGACCAGTGACCACAGGGCGATCGGCGACTACGGAACCGTCTCCACTGTAAGTTCCGCTCTTGCTGTTAGACATGGCTTTATTTGTCTCGTAGGCATCTAAAGCGGTTTACCGTTTAATAAGCAATCGGTAGGGATAAAGGTGATTTCACATCGCTGCGATTGCGATTTCATATGTCTTTTTCGCACACGCATGTGCTACTCACTACCGTCGACCTGATTTTGGGTAGAACTGCTTTGTTACTAATGCAGGCGTTTTAACCTCAAAGGACTACCAGGTTTAACGTGAGAATGTTAGCTGTGTCACACATCAGTTGACGGACCACTGCGCCATCCCCTTTGGAACCATCGGTGTCCGAACACACTGCCAGTGTCTCAATTTCTGTGGCGCACAATAGCCACGTTCCTGATCCATGCAGTTACCTCGGTCCCAATGCACAGCTGAACAAGACTGAAGCCTGGAAATACCACGTGGATCCTACCGATCGGCCCACCTCTTGTTTGGTGATGCGACTATCAGAGCCGCTAGGGTTTCTGAGGTAAACGAACCGATCGAAGGTTTCTGGTGATTACTCGGTTCTGGTGAGGTGTGGTTTGTCGATTCGATGCTTCAACAGTGCCGGGCACCTGGAAGAGATGGAACCACTGTGCATGCGTGCAGCTTTCTGTGTTGGCCACTCTAGGAACACAAGCATGTCAATTGAATCTGGCTGAAAGGCAGCAGGATTACTTGTGTGCACCGCATTCATCAGATGGTCAAGCTAGAGAGCTTAAAATTCGGGTGTATTCATTCATTTGAAAACGATCGATTTGGAATGCATCTGTTGTTGAGAAATCGAAGTAGTAACTCTAAACCATGGATTTTTACATAGTCAACAGTCACCGGAAATTCTCGGTACGTAACTGTTCAAAAAACCATTTGTGAAGGCTACTGACGAGATGTTTGAGACTATTCAGTCTGTTGACTAGCTGATGCGTTCCGCATTTATTTCTCATTCCCTGAGCCAAAGAAGAATTTCAGGACACCATTGTGTAACCACTAGCTGACACGCAGATTTGAACATTCATTGCTTTTATCCGAGATGCCGTAGGTAAAATTTTGTGGGTGGGAGCCAAATCAAATTGACTCGCTGATCGATCTGTAGAGGTGCATGTTTACCATAAATAGGTAAACGGCTGTCATGGACACATAATTCCAACAGCTGTCTTTATCCGCGTTCTCCCACTGTTTATACTCTTGTAAACAAAGCAGAGGAGTCGTGTGTGCGTTTTTGGATAGGATTTCGGTTTTTCTCTGTGTAGACTGAAAGTGCTCGGTCGGTCAACGGTGATTGCCTTTTTTGCCCAAACAGACCTATAGTATGCATGACACCACGTTCTTCCTCAACTCCAGAGCGGTCCGACGCCGATTTAGGGAACTTTCTGAAAAGTTTTATAGTAGTCTTACCTTTCATTTGCCGTCTGTGGGCTTAAAATATTTGGAAATAATACAATCTTTAGAAGCATGCACTTACGAACATGACTCGGTTGAGAATACAAGTGTACAATTGCAGATTTACCGTCGTTATAGGGAAGGTTTCCCCCCTTTAGTCTACACTCTTTATGTGGTTTGTGACTACCTCTTTGAGATCCTACAACTACTAGCGGGACACCTCTCATCTGTCTAGACTTAAGTCGACATAACTGCCAGGGGCCAGACAGTGCCATGAGGGAATAACACCAACTTTTGTTCCCAAGACGCTTTGCATCTTCAGAACAGTTGGGTGTGTTGTTCCGCTTCTTGTGGTTAATCCGAGGAGGAACAGCAAGGTGTCATCGGCCACTTGTTGAGATTGTTCAAATCGCGTTCTCTGGACGACGATGTTTGATCGCTCTTCGATCGCTGAGCCTTTTAGTTGCATACGTTTCTTCACTTGAAACTTCAAGTGCTACTACTGATTTGTCTAGTGCCCAAATCAGCATCCTCAAGACTATCACCAGTTACCGTACCAAGCCGCGAGTGGATGTTTTCAGCCTTAGCTTTAATAAAACACAGTTGTTTGAGAGAGTGGTTTATCGAAGGCTAGGCTGAGCATCTGCAATTTCCTGATTGTACAGAATGGGATCAAACTGTTTGACTGCTCGATAACAACAAGCGAAGCTTATGAACGGGGTCTAGGTTTCATACGGCCCAGTACACGTTTCCCCATCATATTCACTCCTATGGTTTACGGTTTTATGTGTGAAACAATGATGAAAGACTACCCAACCTCATTTTAATGCAGTCAGCTATCTATTATTGTCTTCGCCTTCCTTCCGAACGTCATTATCTGAGCTGATATTTTCCTATTCCACTTGTGATCACGTTCTATAAAAGTATGCGTTTATCCGATCACACCGATAAAGATGTATCTCGCATCGTCGAGAATACACATTTATTTTTTCACAGGTGCTGATTTATGAAAGCAATTATGCAATAACCGCGGTTTCTTACTATCGTACCTGGGTACTATGGTGTTCCTCAGTCACCACATTGACCAGATGCAATGATCATCCACCGCCCCAACAGAGATAACGTGATCCACCAGAAGGACAATCACGCGAGCTTATCCAGCTCTCTTTGATTCCATAATTTTCAACCTTCTTAAGCTTCTGAAATCTTCACAGTTCTCCAACATATGATTTGTCCACTCACGATCGATCCGCCTGATGAACAATGATGTATCACGAGTAAAATAACAGTTACTTGACAAATCCCGTAGGATGTCGGGCATAAAACTAAAATATCAAAAACATGTTTGCTATCTGTTTGAGTGCTTATCGAGCAGATGCGCCATTGAATAACAGTAGTGTACATGGGAATTGAATGTACACAACACGAACACATGGGGGCACTTTTAGCTGCTGCTGTACTCCGTGTGGAAAACTAAAAACAAGGGTACTCACTCATGTGCCACCTCCCTAGGTTTATGTGACATGTAAATCCGTCTTGAAGGCATAATTAATATATTCTAAAGTAGCACAGTTTAGGCAACGAAGTGATGGGAGCCAAGGACAAGTTCCAGTTGTTGTTTTTTTGTTAAGATCCAAGGTAGGGGAGGAAAAATCTGAGTTTAGGAGAGAATCTCTGTGTGGGCAAACCAGAGGAGAAGGATAATTCCGTCGGCCTTCTAGACGGCCTTATTGGTCAATGTCTCAGACATTTAGCTTTGAGATTGATGCTATGACTGAGTTTCAGCAAGTGACGGCATACGTGAATAGGGTCAATCGATATTTTGTACACTAATATGAGATTGCCACGCAGCCTTCGGTAGCGTCCACTGAAAACTCCCAGCGATTTCAACTATTACTGGTGGGCTAGATCTCATAGACCTTGAAGTTTTTTGTAGTTCCGCGTTGTGATGCCTGTAGCACCTCTATTTCGCGCTTCAACCAAGTTTACCATGCTTGGATGGCATATTCAACGTGATGGCGCGCGTAAGAGTTGTACATCATTTGGAAGGTTGATGGGTCGAAACTCCCGAATGCCCTCCGCAGCAAGCCGACGTGTTGATCGCCTCTTCGCAGCTGGCTCAGACTGTTTAGAACAGCCAAGGTCACGTCGAATGAGCACACCAAGGTCGCGTTCCTGGGAAGTTGTTTGTAATGTGCGGCCGAAGCCAATACACGTCATCATATCTATGGCACAATTGAACATCGCGACAGTTTCCCCATTGAATGGTAGAGTATTTTGAACTGATCAGTTCGAAATCTTGTTGAGGTTGCGCTGTAGCTCTTCGTCGTCATCTTGTTCTTTGATCGCTCGCCATATCTTGATATCATGCGCGAAGAATAGGAAATCGGAAGTAATTGCCCTCGCCAAATCTTTTATGCAAATCAAGCATAGACGACGCCTTATCACCGAGCCTTGAGTTACTCCGCACATTACCTTAATTGTATCGGATAGGGATTCACATACTCACTTGCAACCGACGTTCGTGTAGGAAATTGCCTATCCAACGCAGGTGTGGGCCACCAATGTCATACATCTGAAGTTTATGTAGGCGAATTCCGTGGTCTAAGCGATCAAGCACTTTTGAGACGTCCAGCTGAATGACATCGACTCTTGGTCCACCATCAACTGCTTCCGTCCAATTATAGCATGTATTTAACAGGTTCATATCGCATGAGCGCTTTTCCCGGAAGCCGTGTGGCTCCGGTGCGATTATGATGCGATATTCTAGATACGGCGTCAGTGCGTCAGCGATGATAGACTCCGTAACTTTGGAATGCACAAGAAGCAGCGTTATCGAACGGTAATTGGTTGGGTCAGTGAGGCAACCTCCATTATGAAAAGGAGTGATGACCCCTCACTTTCATATTGCTGAAATTTGCATCTCCTCTAGACAGCGCTGATAGAATATAGCCAGAGGTTCCGCCAGATCATTAGCTACTGCCTGTAGAGCCTTTAGCCGAGTGTTCTTGACTCCAGGTGAACGATTGTTACACAGCGACAACAGCTTTTTTAACACGGCTTCTGCAGCAAAAGTCATATTGAATAAAGCAGACGGACGGACTATAGAAACTGGGATAATTATTGGGCCCGTTATCCACTGGAACGTATGTGCGTAATGGAACCGTAAGAGATTGGCTGCTTCCATTGCTGATCGTTTGCACCTGTCAGTCGTGACCAGTGCTGGGATTCCGCGTTTCACCTTACGAAAGCCATTAGCATGCTTGTATGAGAGTTTGCGGTCCATGCAGAATCACTTCATTAACTCCTACTGATGCGTCATCTTTTCATCGCAGATTACTTTCTTTATAAGCTTTCCATGCTAACTCCCTCAAGGGCATGCATTCACGTGTTCTGCTCAGAAATGGCTTGCTTTTCCTTTGGTGCTGAAAGGATTTTTGTTTCGACCAGTGCGTTACCAGTGTGCTAAATGTCCTTGTGAACGCTTTGCAGGCGATTTCTGGGAGGTATTCAATTAAGAACGTCCAAGCTGCCTCCTTAACAAGCGTGGGTAACTCATTGTAGTGTATGGCCGTATACACTTCATCATCCTCTTCTTCAGGATATTTCGTATGGCACACATAGTCAAACAATATAACAACATGGTCAATTAGGCTTGTTGGTATGCTTGTAACTATTCCGTCGACCATGAGCTCTTCGTTGGTGGGCACATGATCAATTATCGATGGCGTGTTAGCAATTTGAAAAGCACGGGAAGAAGACGAAGACTGGTAGATGCATGCATTTCCTATTGTCGTCTTCAACCGAACCCGAGATTTGCCCATACCTCCAACGAAGGAAGCTCAGCCTATTGGGGCCAACTCACACTGTGTATACCAATTTGTATGTGACTGCGAAAACAGTTACATGGGCAGAACTAATAGAACGCTGACTTCCCGCATAAAGGAACATGTACCAAGATGGGTTCAAGGTGAACTTGCCCAGATTGCCTACCATCGTCAGATTACATGTTCGCTCAGACCGCCGGCTTCCTCGATAGGCAAACACCTATTAGCTGGCTCAGCGTTTAAAGTTTTGTTACGTCACACTAATCCCCGCTTCTTTCGGTTTGCTGAGGCTGCCGCTATAAACCGGATGAATCCAGCCTTGTGTGTTCAGAAACAATTATTTGTCAGCTTAAAACTGCCTTGGACGTAGATATAAACTTCCGTCATTCGTTCTGCATCTTAAGCTTATCTGGTTGTACCCACTATTAGTTATATCTATGCGTATCGGTTATAATTAATGATACTGAGGAGACAATACGAAACGCATGCATCTACCAGTCTTCGTCTTCTTTCCGTGCTTTCCAAATTGTTGAAGCACCTGTTAGCATTTCGAAATTTGATGCGATAGTGTTATAGTTGAGGGAACACCTCCATTATGATTGCGTAACGCCTGATAACATTGTCACTAGCACGATTGGAGTACGCCTACGGTAACGGACTGGAACGCTGGCCAATCGAACGGATTTGCGTTGACCTGACGGCGTTAGCTTAGCCCGGGGTACGCGCTGGTGAGACGGAAATTAAGCGAGCGTGAGAATGATCCTAGCCGCACGCTTTTGAGTAGACGCTGAGTCCTCGGAACGGACGCACACAAGAGAGGGTTACGGTGGACGCGCACTAGTGACTTGGACGCGAACGCTGCCTAGCTAACGACGCACACAAAATCACGTGACCCGACCAACTCCCAAGTAAGACGAAGAGGAAAGCAAGACAGGCGGTCCTCTGAAGGCTCTTTTACGACCAACAAAGGACTAATCACAGCCAATGCTATGGGTCATTAAGTTAAGAAAGATAACTGCCATGACGAGGTGGTAGTTTGTAAAAGACCATTGTCAAAAGGTGCGCAGTTGGGCCGCGTCTCGGAGTGGCTGAACGCTGCTGCGTTGTGAGGAGGAATTGGACCTCACTTTCTACAGCCATTCTGCCGGGGTTTCTGGCGCGTTTTTGTGGGAATATTTGACGGGCCCGCAGCAGATAGGTCACATGGTTGTACAGTGAATAGCCGGAACTTAACTCTTTCGTAAACAGTCTTTAAACTACATGCAATCTCATTTGCCGATATTTCCTGGTCGTGCACAGTTAAGCGCCTGCAATGAGAATGTGACTGTATGAATTCTTCAAAGAAACCTGAAGAACAGCTATAAGACATGTGTCTTTGTTCCACAACCATAGACGTCACCAAAGCGAATCTGGGGCACAAATTTCTGGGTGGTCAATAACTTCACATAGGTTAGCCATGTAACACAGTATTACACCAACAACCCTTCCAGCTCTGTCGTTCCGAAGCCGCGACATGCAAGACAAAGTAACGTCAGAAGCAGCTATCCCAAGGCTTAAGCAGGTCTCCGTAATCATAATTAGACCCCGCGGTTGTGACGTCTGACGTTCTCGAAGTTCGGCCAACTTACTATGAAGGCCTTGGGCCTTAGTATACAAACAGGATAGTGTTTTGGATGTTAGAAGTGTGTTGGCGGATGTCAAACGCTGGTTTAGTTTTAAGCCAACCTTTCATCATTCGGTCACTTATCGTTTATTTGTATGAGTCGCTAGTACTTGAATTTCTGTCAGGCTACATGATAGCACAGAGCTTTCAAAAAATATGGAAAGCCTCATGATTTTTTGTGTGGTCCTTGCGCAGAGGCCATGCAATTCTTCTCCGTATCGTTCCAATTTTAGTATATGTACCGCCGAAGCGAAATGCTGTAGCATATAAATGTTATGTGATTCGCACTCTTCCAACGCTGCATGACACGACAGATTTCGTTCTTGTTTGGACTCTTCTGGTAACTTCGGCCGAGCCGGGGCTGGACACTCCATGGAACTCCATAAACGAAGCTTTGTACAGTAGTTGAGAGCCGAACTTTGGATTTCCAATTTGTGCTTGGGTTGTGACAAGGATACTGGAATCTGAACAGTGCAATTCTTTTAAGTCATTCTCGGCAAATTCGGTCACTGGAACCGTAACCAAAGCAGCCCGATGATGTGTTGACAGCCGAATAACAAGACCAATGCCGCCTAATAAATTAAATTGTCTTCAGGCGGATGTAAGCCTGCTGAAATCGTGAATTACGGTGGAATCTAGCTGATCCATAACAATGGGCACTACCCTTCGCATGACTATAAATTTGACACTGAAATGCTCTGGAATCCAGAAGGTGCAGCACTTCTTTATTTCCTCATTTTCGTAGGCCTCGTCACCAGTGCTTGGTCATTACCGGGTGTGCAAAAGGAGTTCACAGCTTGCATACTCCGTTTGTCAGTCTTGAAAATAGGAGGGGCTATTACACAGGCCAACAACAACGTGCGTCATTTCGCCTCAACTTCCCCTTAGCCTCGACTGGTATCATTGTCTTCCTTCTTCTAATCAAAACGGCTGATAAATGTCATTTTGACAGGGGTTCGTCACAGCCGCGCTCAATTAGTTAGCCAACACATCTTTGGAGAAGCAGTGAACGGCTGATACTTCCCTAAAAATTTCATTACTTATAGATCCTGTTACTCATTTCTGAATAAAAAGTACTTATCAGAACGGGAAACACCCAATATGCATCTATTTCTTCTGTCCTTGTCTCCCGCCTCACATAGGCTTACACACAAGTCATGGTTTGATGGATTTCTCACCGCAACATCCGGTCACGTGATTCTTAAGGGCAGTCAAAATGCTTACAACGCAGAGGCCGCTGCTCACGATGCCGCTGCCCTGGCTTTGTCCACTAACGCGAGACTTGAGGAAACAAAAACTGCGTCCAGCGGCGCTTGTGCTAGCCAACCAGATCCGATTGAGCCTCCTGCTCCAAATGAAGGGAATACCCCGTCCACAGTTTTAGCTGACGAGACTGGAACCAACGGAGAGGTTTCAACCGATGAGGATTCCAAAACGAAACGACAAGTCGCCCCTTGTAAATCATCTTTACCAGAACCTGCCACAATCCCCTCGTCCCCAGTGTTTGATTCCATCGGCCCCTCAAATGTAACTAGTGAGCGTCGAATTTCCTCGAAACCTGCCGTTGGCACCGGTAACCCCAACAGTCTCTCTGAGGAGACCAACCATGTCGTGATGATCAAAGGCCGAGCACTAAATCGACTCAAGGCCGAGTTGGTTCAGGTAAGACAGTATAATTCTATTCTTACGAAGTCGGTTGCAAGAGTATTGCTTTAAAATGGGCGGTTATTCCCGTTTTTTACGAATACAGGCCATGAATACACATGCATTCTCGTTCTTCACCGCGCACACGTTCAAGTACATGCGATGCTTGACTAGATCCATGGCGTCATGGAAGCGCAAATCTGTATTTTATTATGTCGTCAGCTTATTTACGAGTTCACCAAAGCAACCTTTTGGACGAGTATATGACTATCTTCATCTTCACAGGCTTCATTGGCGTTTGCATTCACACTGCGGCTATACGCACCGTCGCGAAAACCGTCCTAAGTTAAATCACGTTACTACGATTTGGTTCGTTGAACTGTACACGAAATGTTGTGGTGAAGCAACGCAGGGGGTAGGCAGCAGTAACGGAATCTCCCTCACACGGATGAAGGACGTCCCTTCTAATGCTACTGCGAAGTACCCAGTAGCACTACTATTAAGGTTGGAAAACCAATCTCCGTTGCGTCTAACTTCGTTTGCGACTGCATCTGTTGCTGCTGTACGTTCCTGTTTCAGGAGAGAACTATTTGCCACTGAGCTACGTTACTACAGTAAAACAGCCGCTGCCTTGTTGTTATGCAACGACCACATATCATAGAGTACCGAAAAGTTCAATCAGTTTCGAGTCTTTACCGTATTATAATCAGTGTCCTGTGATGTCGTGATAGTACTGTGGCTGGCCGACTAATTCGAACAGATGTTTTGAATTCCTACAAAAGCCGATTAACCTGCAGAATAGAATGCTGAAAATATGGATCCTTTGACGGCCTTAGTTAAAATTTACAACCTACGAGGATTTGGTAATTAAGCATACGTATCCGACACCAGTAGAAGAAACCCGTAAGAATTGGTTGTTTTGTTTCCTTAAATAAATATCAAGAATCCGGCGCGGTGCAGTTCATCGTCAGTTGTGAATACGGGACTCTGATGAACAAGGCTTCCGAAATGACGACTTTTTAATCCGCCTTGCCGATTCCTTTGTCCCTACCGGTTTGCTTTGTTTAAAACGTGATTGTGCCAGTTGCATCGGGCCGCAGACCTTCGTCGTTTGGAACGAACCACAGAGCTAACATCCTGTAGCGTGTTAGTCGCTCTACAGTTTGAGAAAGCTTATGACTGACCAATCAGGCAGACATCCAGCTATGGTGCGCCATGAGATCCAGTGGAATGCACCGGGGCGATTTGGAAGTAGAGAGATCCACGTAACAGGTCTGTGCGACCCATAAAACAAACTAGTTTATCCCGTTATCACTGGAGTACACAGAGGAGAGCGCAGTATTGCAAACATATTTTCCACATCATGCAGAATGCCTCTTTGGCATAATTTGCGATGCCGCACTGGGATGAGAGTAGTCATTAAAGGCTTAAGGGCCGCCTTAATCGTTTAAGATTAGTCACCACCGGCCACCATCCTTAAGATATGAAGCTTCACACTGTCTGACGCAACTAGCCTTTAGGAAAGTATTCGGCTCACCACATTGTGTTATTAGTTCACGTATTGAATCGCAGTCCATCCTTGCTTTCAAAAAGGTTCGCGTGCTTCACTTGTGGTTACATGTTTGTCCAAATATTTTAGAATTGCCGAAAGCTACATGTGGTAGTATGTTCACACAGATCACGCCGCCCATTGGCTGTCATGCGATAGTGAATTAGAACCCATGTGCTACTTCGAAACACCTCATGAATCCCTCTGTAACTCCCGTCCATCCAGGTTTTCCTCGCCACACCTGGTGTGGTGCACACGGTAATTTCCCCCACCAGTTTCCGGGCAGAGTATCGACGTGCGGGAAGCGGCTCCAGTCTTCTAGCACGACCAGTCAAATTACAAGTCGACATGGTCCGCGCCACTGGTGGCATCAGTACGGGGGCTCAGGCGGCAGGATCTACAGGTGCACAAGTGCCGTCAGAACGCGAAGTGTACGCGATAAACTTCCAACTGCTTTCAGGTACGTATGGGGAAGGTGGATCTCGTTGTTGTGCGTTGTGTCCTTTTTGCCCAAATTTCCCATGAGCCTAACCGAATTTATTGCGCATTTCAGGCCCAACCCGTCGATTCAAACGGCTCTGCGACCAGTTGCAAACAGCACTTTTGGCAGGTACCTTGCCTGTGTTCCCAGCACCAGGTTCAATGGGTAATGGGAATACGGCCAACCGAACCCATCAGGCCCCCACATCGCCTCAATCCACCACCCCTTCATCCCACGATTCGGAAAGCCATCGTGCTGGAGCTGGTGTCCATTCTCAGACGGTAAGGGTACTTGTATGCTGAGCTACCACAAGTGATTAGCCTTAGCTTGACGAAGTTGATCACAGTTGCCGTATCGCCTATCCTTTCCCTAAATAATGAGTACGACATACTATGTCGACTGGGACTTTTAAGGTACGTGCATCCATGCTGAATCGAAGTGGAACTAGGAAAGACCTGCAAACAAAAGACTAGTTTGGGGTCACATTTGAGTGGCAGAGCTCATAGATTGTGAAGTTCACTGATTCGCACAATCTATGTTACTTCCCGGGGTAGGGTTAATAGTTTCTCTTGGAAACCACATCATTGGGACCTTGGTGTTGTTGCTCTTCTCACTTTCAAAACATTACATCACGCTTTGAGTCACTTATTCCATGGACGTAAGAATTGGTATTCGTAGGGCTGGTTGAAGGAACGCCTTACGAAAGCGTAGGGTTAAGACAGCCGGACAGATAAATAGCCTGACCTATGCAACGGAGTTGCTCATCTTGCCATGCTCCAGTGGAAATCTCGTTACTTGTTCGATTTAATACTAGAGGGAAATCGATTTTTTGTTTCCAAGTTGCAGGACGTGTTATCGAGTTTGTTGCTTGCGGTTCTCGGTATGGAATCGTTACTCTTCCTGTGACCCGAGTCAGTCCATAAGATACGCTAGTTGCTTTAATAATGTCATAGTTTACATAACCAGAGCGAGGAGAGTAAAGATAAGTTCTGTTAAAAGTGAGCGGCTTCTAACTTGCTCCTACTTTGCCACCAGCATACTCTTTTCGATCATTACTAAACACCGAGCTATCGATTGTTAATAGCGCTGTAGCTCTCTGAGTGGTTGACTACCCTACTCGATGGGATCTGCGTAACTCCAAGTCTTCAGGGATCTACAGTATTTGCGCAATCTCACACAGTTGACTCAGGAGAGACTGCATAATGCAATCGGCGTCACATTATGGATCAAAGACATGTCTATTACACCTTTAGAGTAATTAAAAACGGCTCCTTATTGACTGCTGGCGCCTGTATTTGCTTGCTCTCAGCTGACTGAACACTGTTGCTTTCCACTGATGGCTATTTAACTACAACACCAATTTCTCTGGTGTAGAATCAGACTATCTTCTACTCTCTCTCTCTCTCCACTCATCGGGTCCTGATCATGCATTATGTGTAATCGTTGATCTCCCTGCTTACTATGCCCTGTCGTTCGTCGTTGCGGCTTACTGTTTGATGTCTGAATCTCACCATTTACTGCTATGATAAAAAGGTGTGAAGCGATTAAATGGAAGCTATTGCCTGACCACAGTGGTTCATGCTCTCTTCCTGCAACGGAGCCTCGACCTCAGTCGTTAGCCACCCCCACCAAAATGTCGCAGTTGTGATGCAACGGTACACTTGCGTTCGGACTCCCACTTCTTGCTTTCAGGTTTGTCATCTAATGAGTTTCGTTTCTTTTTCTCCAAACACCCATACTTCACTGTATTTTGCATGATTGTTATGATTGTATCCCTAGTTTCTTTTTAATGATGACTGTCACCCGGGAACCGCGGACCTCAGAGCTTATTGGAACCGACTGAGTAGTTAGCTGCACCAATGCGAACTCGACCACTATTTATGGGTAAAGAATAAACAAACACCATTCCTCTGCTCGTGGACCACACGACTTTTGGGCGGTGGGATATCAACTACACACTTGCCTTTGAAATGCTAATCGGCGAAGTTAACATGGCGCAAAGTTGTCCTGACGCGGCGCACTACTTTCTGACATGACATGTGCTTAAGCCGACGAATGGCTCCGGGGAACAGCCAATTGTTGGTGGCTCTGGAGAGTGTCGCATAGTCTCATCAGTGGTGTGAGGTTCAGGGAGTGGTTCCAGTAGGGAGCCCACCACGATCAAGCATCTGGCTGGGGCGCATCTACAGATTATCTCAGCCAGTTGCACCATATTGCAGTCAACTACATATCTAAGGATATAATATTCTCCCGTGGCTTCGTAAATTAATCATTTTGCCTTCAGTGTGTATGCACACACGTAGGTGGCTACTGTTCGTTACGTGACCACTCCTAAATCAGCCAACTTATCGGACTCGCATAAACCATGGAATACCAGCATGGCTCTTTAAATCAGCCCCACACGTGGCATCTTAGCGCTTTGGGAGGTGTATAGCTGCGTTCGACACTTAACGTCAACAAACAATGGCTACACCGAAGCTAGTTCCACGTAGGCTGGTCAAGCTCACGTGATGCGGCTTGATTTAGAGATGATCACGCATACTTGTGAGTTGGCGTCAGTTGAGGATCCTGTAAATAGCTTTCAGTGAACCTGTCGCCGGTGTAAATAGGTACTATGGGCGCGGTGTACTCGATAGTGGAACAGCCCAAGGTTAATCTTCGCTTGCCCCTCTAGTGTGCATGATTACCTAAGTTTTGCCTTAGTCGATTACATACTAAGGGAGAGTGGATCACATACTGGTCCATCGTGACTCGCATCTCGTTTGCAAAGTGCACCTGCTAAAACTAAACGCAGTAATCTAACCGTCAGCTGTGGATTGATTACGAGTCTGAAGCAACAGTCAACTACGGCGGTGCCACTGGGTTGTGGATGTCGGCTGTTTGAGTTTGGTTTCTTATTCCTTGCCATCGTGTCAGAAATAGTCAAATCCCGTGTGTGATACAATGCGTGAGAAGAAGCAAAGTTTAAATCCGAAATTTGCAACTTTCGGCACACTCCTCCAGGTTCCTTAACAGACCATTGTGATTGGTGCGGGACGTATAACTTTACACGTGCCACATGGGTGTTGAAAGAGGAGATAGCGACAACACGCCGGTATGTTGTACCCATGCTTCGTTACTACAGCACCACGAATAGATGCGTGTAGGTTATGGATATTGCGAGGTCGCCCTCACATGTTCAGGATCATTTCGTTTGCCTATGGACTAAAAGCCAGACGCCACATTCATTAAGCAACAGGTCCTATGTATGAATTGATGCGAACTAGTTTCTAACGTCCACCGATTGAACATTGAGTGACGCTTAGCCAATGATCCCGAAATCAAAACAAAGTTGGAACGTAACAGCTGCGGTACTATCGATAAATCGGACAAACCTCAATTGTTCTGGATCCCGGTGTCTGCGTCACCGATGATTGCAATTACACAGATCATCAGGAAACAAAGGTCACATTCGCTCAACGCGGACAATCAGTGCAAGTGAAATCATCCGGAGATTTGTGAACTATCAGTAAACCGCTGACCAATCATAAGCAGCCCAAGCATAGTGAGGTAAAGGTTGGCGATGAAATTAACGAACGCACTCGGTAGTAACAGACCAGATGCATCAGGCAGGTTTACGATCCACACAGATCAGCTGAGGTCAACTATGACGGAAGTGCAAGGGAATGCATACGTAAACGAATGAGTACCCACGGCGCAAGGGTATGGTCGTATGTAGCGAGTAAACGGACAGTGTACGCGGGGATCCCGCATTGTGGACGGAAGGTCATGAAACGGAACGAAAAGTACGGTGTACGTGATGGCCATGTGCATATCTTAGTGGAATTCTCCAATCAACGCCAAACTCCGTTACACCGCGCTTCAAAATCCCTCTGCGCGTCTGTATCTTGAGCGACTGACGCCACGCTGGCTCCCATCCTATGTTATCTATCATACGCTTACAGCTTCCAAGGGTGTTTAGGCTAGGGAAAACTTACATCGCAATAGGTGCACAATGAACAAGAGCCGTTCTCTATGACTCCCAACACGTGGTCCCCCTTCGGTGTCTCCTATATTAAGGGTGCGTTAGGATGCAAGCCGTTTTTTATGACTACCACCCTGCACCCACAAAGAGACTGAAAAGCTACTATCCATCGCCTTATAGGTTGCATAGCCATCTTGTCTCTTCTGACTACCCCTGAAGCCGTTTTGACGGAAACTGTCCGTACTAACTCGTCAGAAATAGTCTCCCAATCAACAACACGACCCAGAGTGTAGCACCCACGAGACATATTTTCGGACACGATTAGTAGTACGTCACCGAGGAGCAGCCACCTTTTTGGATGCAGCCATTTCTGGCGTACTTGCAAGATTGTGAGGTATTCTCTCAGCCATCTCTGCCAAAATATTGTGGTGATGTAGTTCACCTGTTTCCATCGTTTACTACACGTTTCTCCGTTATCTGAGGTAGGGAGGTCTAGCACCTCGTGTCCGATTGAAAGGAGGCTGTTCGGTGTCAGAGTGGGCTCATCGCGACTATCGCTTTTGGGCGCTACTTATGGTAGCAAGTGAGTCATCGGATAGGTATTGCTGGTTACGTACATTATTTAACACTTTCCTTACCGAGCAAACTCTCCTTCCCCATACCTCTCCTCAATGACTAGGAGCAGGCGGATTAAAATTCTATTCCAGTATACGAGCAAGCCATTTGTGGTTGAGTATCCATCGATCCCACTTCTGGATGCAGTCGCGTAATTCCTTCACTTCTCCGACGAAATTTGTCCCGTTGCCAGTTGCATCCGGTTTCGGATTTGCCTGTCACTGTGGCCAGCCACAGGACTCCTGAGCCTACAGAGGGACCATGGATGGCTTGCGCTGCACCACCCACAGCTCCAACCACACACCCCATATCCAGTGTAAACTCGAAGAAATAAGACCGGGAGGCATGTGGATGGGAGCCACGTTTAATCAACGGAGCCGGTCCACACTCCTTCACAGACAAACACAAGCACGCTGTATTTGGGGAATCAAGCGCACACAAGGCGGTGGCTGGACCGTAGTCCGCTCCACACTGAGTGTATGAAACCACTCTTTGATCCTAGCACGGCTACAACGACCGTGCACCCCGTTCCCTCCAGCAATGACCAACTGTCTCCTAGAGCCCGTATGGGTGAGGTAGTGGGTAATAAACAGGTAGGCACCTTGTCAACATGCACATCAAGCGCAACCTCACCGGGGATATCAAGCAACAGCTAATCACTTGAGAGAAAGATAATATAGAAAATAAATCGCGAATGCATAA